TGGTAGGGAAATTAAATTACTCAAATGGAAAATCCTGACATACCTAAGATGTTTGAAATACCAATTTTGGAACTTCTCTTGTAGCAATAAAATACTCTTCAACTTTTGGAAAAACACTTGATTACTGTCCTAATTTACCATTTATTTTGGCATCCCTGTTAATTAGGAATGAATTATCAAAGAGGAAAAGTACCAATTAATCATAATACATCTTCAATTTTAGAGTAATTTTTTCTGTAGCCAATTATTTACTGTCATTTTTAATATCCAATTATAAAGAAATGGCCTTATTGTACATTAAGAATCTCTTAAGAAACATTAGAAATACTATTGATATAGAAGCAACAAAAATCATAAAGAGAAAAATTATTTCATCATTCAACTACTCTAATTCATTCTGATCTTCAGAATATTTCAAAATGAGTTTCTACTCACACAGAAAAAGAATTACTTCAGGAAACTGTTATGGCTTGGGTAGACTAATCCAGCATTCTGAAGAGTCTGACTCCCATTTTATTTAAATGTTATTTTCAAACAAAACACACTGATTAGTCTTTTTACTGCTGTCATACACTTGTGACCCTCAAAAATATTCCAGAATCAAAGCATCCTCCTAGAAAACAGGAAGAGATACTCTAACTTGAGGACAACTGAAATGATATAACACCAGCAGCACAGGTGTGGGGGGTAAATACAGGCAACAGCTGATGTAAGTGCTCTGAACTGCCTGCGCATAAACTAAAAGATTATGTTTTTCAATTGCAGATAAACACTTCAATTGTAAGTAAAATTTTTTACAAAAATACCTCAGGAACTGCAGCTTCCACTAGGAGAGGAGGGGGCATGCATCCACTTTCCTGGGTAATCCCTATTGGCTGATAAATGACTTCAGATGGTTGCAGATACAAGAATGAAGGTGAAGAGGCAGGAGACTGAAATAAAACACATTATTTTCATCAATTATGTGATTTATGCACTATAAATACCAAAGCTTATTTTACATTCTTCTTTGTTACATATAAATGAAGATAAAGCTTTAAAAGAAAGTGTCAAATTCATCTTTGATAACCTAAAGGAATTAAGTGAGGGGGAAGTAGGTAGAAAGGTCAGGTAGGAGAATAAAACAAAGATGTCCTTTAATCACTTTTACGTATTTTTCAGATTTTATTTACATTTTGGAGAGCATTGTTAGAGAAATCCTAAACTTTATAAAATTGACACTTACTCTCAAGATCACGGAAACATAACACAGTTTAATTTTCTCTTGCAAAAATGTTACATTAAAAAACTCCACGTATTTTAGTTTTAAAATAAAACCCACAGTATTTCTGCAATTCAGCACCCAGATTTCAAAGCAGCAGACTGACATCTGTTAATAGACTGGAACTGACCATAACTGGACAAGGCTGGCTGCTACTAAAGTAATGAGGATGCATTGTAACAGTTCAAGCTTAAGGGACCTGGTCCTCCTTTTAGCTTCAAACTCTTCAAGTTCCTTGAGTGGCCAGATTTCCGTATGAAGCTCCTCTGCTACAGAGATCACAAAACCGATAAAAGTCTCCCCCCAAAATTACCAACGTAGCAATTTCAAGTTCTTCCTCCTATTTCAAGGGTCTGGGTCAAATTTCACCATACTTCTGTGTCTACGTGTCTCTGCTAGCCATACTCTAATGAAATATCACCATTAGTATCAGTTAATGAGCTAGTTGGTATTAACTTCTCCTACCAGGCAAAATATGGCAGATTTTACCTGCTTCTGAGAACTTACTAGAATTTAATACAAACTTTTTGCCAGAGGGGAGGAGAAGATGCTTTCTTTACATCAGATTTGTATTTGGTATTTCAATAAATGCTATTTTATGCCTTCTATTGTATCAGCAAGTGTTACAAATGCATTGTTAAAATATAGCAATTAATATTTATTTCAGTGTTGTGAATAGTGGGAAATTTCACTGTTAGATTAAGTGCACCGTACCTTTAAACCAGATGCAAACTAATGGTAAAATGCTGCAACTATGAACTGTATTTACCTGTGGAACAGACCACTGCCACTGACTTGGAAGACACTGTGTTGGCGTCTAAATTCAAACAAAAAAAATATTACTTACATGATTAAGAACATAGGCCTACACATACTAGAATTCCCAACATACTAGAATCAAACCTATCTCAAATCTATAATAAATTCTGAGTTAAAAAGAAATATGATTTTCATAAGCCCCCAGATCATTCAGGAACATAGCTTTGTCTACTTCCACTCAGCCTCTAACTGGGGCATTTCATAAGCTGCTAAAATACTGAAGCATCTAAGAAGCATGCCTAATTAGGAAAACAGAAGATACAAAATGCAGTTAACTTTCCACTACACGTTGAAAATATGGACATACTACATAAATTCAGTAGTGGACCACCAGGATAGTTAGGGGACTGGAGAACAGACATATCAGGATGCTGAGAGAATTGGGTTTGTTCAGCCTTGGGAAGGATAAAGGTGGGAGAGGATAATTACTGCTGGCTACAACTACCTAAGTGGGGGATGGGGCACAAACATGATTGAGCCAGACTCGTTAGAGGTGTCCAGAGCACAAGAGTCAATGGACACAGGCTGGAACATTGAAAATTTTAACTAATTATAAGGCAAAAAGTCTTTTACCATAAGAAGGGTCAAATATTGGAAGAGGCTGTCCAGAAAGGTTGTGGAATCTCCATCACTGGAGATATTTAAAAGTCAACTGGACAAGTTCCCAAGAAGCCTGATCTAACCAGCCCTACTTTGAGCAGGAGTTTGGCTTAGATGATAAGAGTTAAGGATGGTATTAAGCCAGTTGTCTAGGAACACCAAAGAAAATTTTAATTTATTACATTTCCATGTAGTTACATAGGCAGAATAAATTGTATTCTAGTGAAAAGAAAGCCTTCAATGAAATTAAAATCTGTTTTATATGACTATTTTGAACAGTCTTTTTATTTCCTAGGAATAAACAGACCTGAGACAGTGCTGCAAATAAAACTGCATGGCTGGAAGGAATACCGATGGTCTGAAACCCATTTTCAAATAGATACCTGATAATGGTATGTAGGAGACTGATAAACCGGTTGAGCTACCATCATAGGTGAACTGGAAACAGAGCGTGACTTAAAAAGAAAAAAGTTACAAGTCTTAATGCAGCAATTTCATAAATTGTCACTCCTATTAAGAACAGTTATGAAATACTATAACGCTGAACCACCTCCCCTCCCTTTTCAAAATGGATTTACCAAGTTTTAACTTACACTTAGGTTCTTCAAAACCACTGTCTCTAAAGACCTACATTAGAGGCGAAACAAAAAAAAAACTTCGGCATATTTACTTAGTTCTTTCCAGAAAGCACTAGGCCCTCACTGTCTAGAGATGCTAAGGCCATCTGCTATCCTGACCATAGGTACATTTTTGTAAACACTTAGGGCAATCTAAGTTGTCACCGATGTATTCCCATCCTTTCCACAACCCCAACCTAATCTTCCCTTTTCCGTTCCCTTCCTCACACCAGCCCCAGCATTCATCTGATTTGGCAGTGAGCCAGTTTAGGGAGCTAAACCAGCTAGAAACCTGTCTGGGTTCTTTTAGGGGGCCCAGTTTAGGGTCAGAGAAACACCAGTGAAAGAAAGGGGGGCAGAAATATATGGTCATGGTAGAGAACAACATAGGACTGTTAACCACTAGTTCTGAGTAGTTAAAGCTAGGGTGTGCAACTCCCATGTCATGAAATTCCCTCATTCCTGCAAATATTTAGGAATGAACTGCTTCACAACTACTTCAATTCACTCTACACTGTATGAAAACGCAGAATGCAAAATGGAAAAAAAAGACCCAATTGTTACACACACACAATACACACCAAAAATTATCAGTATCTTTAATTTGATTCATGTTTTCTGTAACATCAAATTTTCATTTTTTTTCCTTAACTTCTTTATACAGGTACTTTCCTAACAACGAAAATTAAGAATACGTAAATAACTGAAACCAAAAGAGGCAGTGCTATTTCTAGAAAGATTGAGTGCTAGTTGTTTGAAACACAGTGGGTCTGAGCCAGGGCACCAGCACCAAAGTTCAGTACTCGAACACAAAAAGTATTGTTTTTTTCCAACAGGTAGGATTTGAGTAAGTTCTCTAGAAGTATAGAGTATGAACTTCAAAAAGGCTTTCTAAAATATGTCAACAGGTATTTATGCTTATCCTCTAAAGTTGAGGAGGCACTATGAAGCACTGTATCTGTCTCTGTTAGAAGAGCAAACAGAAGTTAAATACTGAGAAAGATTCTACAGTGCCAAAATAAACAACGGAAAAGAATCTATTACAGCTCTCATCTGTTTTGGGAAAGTTTCTTTTTATTTATTAGTAATTCTTCTATTGAGTTTTTCCCTGAATATGCGAAGGGATTTTCCACTCATTTATAGAGGTGGCACGTACAGCCACTGTGAATGCTGCTTTTACAGAAATTAGTAAGGATTCGTCCTCTACATTAGGTCTTGTGCCTTATGCAGACCGCAGTCTTGTAATCCTTCCCTCTTGTAAAACAAAAACACAAAACAAAAAAAAGAAGTGATTGACAACTCCTTCCTGTACTTCCCAAGAAATTCTGTCCAAGTTCCCCAAGCCTACTAAAGGCAAACAATTGATCAATTGCATTATCTTCTTCCTAAAACAAGCAGTATTTGTGAAAAAGTGTAAGTGAATGACTACGAAATTACCTAATTTCACTTTTGTTTTATGTCTTATGTTCTCTTTTCATCCTCAGCATAATATTTTGCAGCCAAGAACAGCTCACTCATGGAGGAATAATAAATGGAGCCAATCAAGGGTCATAAGCACCAACAACTCTTTAGTAAAACAAAAGTTCTCCTGGGGTAGGGCCCACAATGATTCTGAACTACCCTGTCCAGTAGGCCGCATCAAAGCAAAGTCCCCTGAAGAAGAACAATAAACTTAAGTAATATTTAAAAAACACAAAATAAACAGACTAATATAAGGAAACCATTTAAACATCAAACATGAGGCACAGCCAAAGAAACTGGAAGCAGGAGGGACTTGAAAACACTGAACTCATCCTGATCCACAGAGAAGCATATATACAAAAATAAATTACTTACTGGCCATGGCTGTGGAACAGAAGCAACTTCAGATGTATGAAAATAAGCCACTCCATTATGGTAAATATAAGGATATCCACTTGAAGTAGTTAAGTACATTGTACCACCTTCTGGTATTACAGTAGAACCTGGAATCAATATTTTAAAAAGTTTACTTACCAGTAATTTTTTTTTTAATGTGTAGGTCATATAAAAAAAGAAAAAGATCATTTCTGATCTTCAGAGAAGCTAAACACTGAAAGGAAAGAACACCTAGTGCACTGAACACTAAACACTGAAAGGGCAGTACACCTAGTACCATCTCAGTTCCCTCTCAAACACAAAATCATGAAAGCAGATAGTCACAGATGTCTCCAGAGGTAGATGGGATGGGGTGCAGAGGATGACATGCATATAAATTACTAAACACAGGTAACTCCAATTACCAGCAAATACATGTATTTTTTAATCTTCAAATATCCAAAGGTAACTTCACACTGTAGGAGATTTTCATTGGTAACCTCCGCATAGTCATACTTAGCTGAAACAGGATCCAAGCGCTAAAAGTAACAGAACGATTTCTTTACAAGGTGCAGCCTAGTTTCTCAACACGTACTTTGAGACTGTCTTTCTGTGATGGCACACTGCCTGGCAAAAGAAAGAACCGGTATCTAGATGTCAGCAACAGGGACACTTCTCAGCAATGCTGCCGCTACGGCGGAGGCTATAAATAAGCATGGTCTGATCCCAGAGCAGAGTTCCATCTACACAGCCTTCTCACAGCCTTCGCTAAGTACCAAGTACATTGCACAGAACTTTCTGCTATTGTTGAATACATCTCTTATAAAGGAAAAGGAAATATTCTCCATCAAACCCAGCAAACTCACTGTGACAGAGGAAAAAAACCAACACCAAAACCAAACAAACTTGGGGGAGATACAGCTATCTGAAATTCTTCCAGCCCACAATAATTCATCATTCTTCTGCCAGCTGTTCATGTTTGGTTTCCACTTTTTTAGCTTTTAGAATGCCCATTTTCACAATACTTGGTACTGGGGAAAAACAAACTGACTGGTTCTCCCAGTATGTTCAAAGTTCTTAGCAAAAAAGGTCCTATGATGACAGAAGAACTAAAAATTGTTTTGCTTAATAGCAGGGAAGGCAGGTACTAGATTACAGGTGGGCTGGAGAGGACAGCGATAATGGGCTCTCTCTTAAATTCTGCTAAATGCCGTAGAACCACAGCCCTACAGTGATACTGCAAGTCTAGGCTTTATGGCTTCACGAACCTCAAGATGAGCTGCAGTAGGACAAAGTAGCCTAGTGACTAAGGCTGGTAGGCTGAGCATGAAAGCACACACACTAAAATCAGATCCTAGGATATGTCACTAGATGTCAATATGATCTTGTATCACAGCTCTATCCTAGGCCTGAGGAAGAAGTGGCAGAGTCAAATACGGCCACAAACAGAGACCTCAGAAGGACACAGCAGCTTTCTTCAAAAAATGTTTTTGAGTTTTTTTTTCCTTTGTTCCCCCAGGTCTCAGAATTAGAGATATGCCCCTCTTCTATCAATACACACATTCAGCACAAGAGTCAGAGGAAGGAAGCACCACAAGTCAGGCAGTGCAACTGAGAAAGTCCAAGTCAAAGACGGAAAGGAAATAAAGCACAACAAGAAAAAAAGGCATATTACCCCTTGATGATGACTGAGCAAAGATCACGCTGAATAATTTCAAAAGCAAAGAAACGATACAGTTGGAACAAAGTGTTCCACTTCCCCTGGGCAACCACTATCCTACACACTTACAAGGGAGAAGGGCGTATTTATGTATGAGGGGAGGAAGAGAGAGGGAAGTTTCCTGTCTGCAGAAAGTATGTTTGCACCATCAGTATTAGTGTACATACGAACTACTTCTAATCGGTAATGTGACAGTAACAACTAAAGAAAGCTTTAGAATTAAACTATAAGTCTCTGTATTGTCCTCAGCCAGAAGATGAGCAAAATTTTTTCCCTCTTCCAAAAGGTAGCATAGAACAAATACTGAATGTATTTTACATCTCTGACATAGCCCTTACTGAGGAATAACAAAACAGCATGCCCTGCTATGCCAAAACCTGACAGATCTTGTCTTAAAAGTTGGTAGTTTTATTCAGTAAATTCACTACATTTTCAGTAGTGTATTACAGAAATAAAACAGCCCCTCGCAGAACGGGAGAGCATCTTCTCTAGAAGAAAACCTGTCTTCTGTCTCCCCTGAAAGAACATCGTAACAGCATACTTGCTCAAGATAAAGAAGTCATCTGGGGAAAAAAAACCAACAAAACAAAAACCCAACAACAAAACCCCCCCCCCCCCCAAAAAAACCCTTATCAATACTCTCTTATGTAAGTGTTCAGTGTAAATAGTTCTTTGCCAGAGAAGGAACATACAGCATCCATTCCATTACTTTACAGCAAAGAACTCTTAAGAAGCGAACGGTGACTGCAACCACCCATTCCCTATGGTTTCTACCAAAGAAAGCAAGATGCAACAGTCCTGATGGATTTTGCTAATATAAATAAATACATAAATCAGTAACAACCCAACCAACCAGCACAGCCTGCTTTATCCTGTAGAATCTGTGAGGACAGTCTAAAGTGTTTAGATTTGAGGTTTTGCCTGGCAACTGAGAGAAATTTTCATTCGGTTTGTTCCTAGATAATCTTTTCCAAGAAAGAAAGTAAACAACATATTAAAAGAGATAAAAGAACCAAAGATCATCAATCTGTTTATTTGGACATTTCCACCGGCATGCATTTACTTTTACTGCAAACCATTCTGAGCATATTCCATGCACAGCATTAATACAGTGCACGACCAGGCACATCTTGGTTAAAAACTTATATTCATAGTGACACTTACATAATATACAAATGTAAATAAAAATACATACGAGGACTCCGTATTTGCTGCTTTCTTACTGCTGGACCAATATTCAATTTCTTATCCTTATAATTAAGTTTTTTAGCCTAGAATTGAAGACAAAAAAAAGAGACATTCAGTATGTGTATTTTCTACACATATCCAGGCATCCAAGAAACAAAAATCAGAAGTAGACAAGGCACTTAACAGGTTTCACCCTCCCCTGCTTTTTATTTACAGTGCATCTCAAACCAAAAACTATATAATGCCTTTTCAATCTAACTTCACATAGACAAAACTAATGGTTAGTAATTTCAAGTATTGCTTATTCCTCATGGAGCCTCTTGATTAAGAACTGATACCTATAATTGTCAGCAGATTTTTTTAGTTTTACCTTCCTCATTTATTTACTGCTTTTATAAAAAGCACATGCATACACAAACTGACAATTTCAACTGTAAAGATGAAATTTTTTTTTTATGATCATGACATTATTTTACAAAAGATGACAGGAACAAGTCAGTCTATGAAAACAGACAGATTATAAGGGTTGAATGTAAAAAAAAAATCCCCATATTCACTCAGGACTGCCTTAAAACTTCCTTATATTCAGGCTAACAAAACATAAAAGCACACTAAAACAGCTATCCTAGTAAGGCTAAACTATTGCAGAAGAATTTTTCAATAAAAAAGTGCTAGGTACAGACAAGTAAAGCTACACTCTCTTCCCGCTGTTTTGCTTACAACAAAAAGTGAGCACCAGGTCCATCAGGTAAATGAAAACCTTGCCTTTGCTTTTAAGTTGACACTGAACTCAGTACTTGTTAATATAACGGAAAGGAATAGGGTAAATAAACCATTTTTTTTAGTTGTCAGCATCTATGTAATGCAAACTATTTTGTTGAATCTGAGACTTCATAAAGAAGTATTAATTATGGCAAACATACCTACCTAACCTATTAAACACAGAGCAACTCCTAGAAAACAGATGCGCATTTCAGTCAAAGAGCATTCCAACACAGACAATAGGAAGATGATTCTTCCCAATGCAATGTACGTCATTGATGTGATCCATCAGAATTTAGACTTTTTTTTTTTTTTATACACAATTTGCACAGTTAAGAGAAGTATCTCATCTGTATGGACTTCTTCAAAGCATTCAATACAGCACCACATGAAAAATTACACATGCTGCTACAGAAAGTGAAGACTACTAGGAAAAACTGGTGAACAAAAAATTACTTCAGAAAGATGGGAAGAGATAGCATTAGTAGTAACAGCATATGAGTGGAAAGAGGATCCTGGTGAAACTCCAAGGTCTGTTCTCAATACTAACACAATTTAATACTTTTGAAGACTGCAACATAGAAAAAGAAATTTCTGGAGACATTACTCATGATAGAAAAGTAGAATGCAAAAAAAAAAACCAAACAGTGCAAAGGATGATCAGAATATCTTATAAAAGAGAAGAAATTCAAGAGTACAAAATGAAAAAAATAATTCATTTCATACATAAGTTACTAAAGCCTAGAAACTCTCAGCTTAAGATGTCTGAGAAAGACCTAGATGCTAATTGATCTTAAGATGAATACGAAATAGCAGTATGGTGCAAAGATGAAAAAGGTGACAGAACTGTAGGACATTGAAATTAAAGCACTTACAGTAGACAAAAAAGTATTAGTATCATCGAATGAGACATCAGTAAGACTTCACATGGAGCAGCCTTTCAGTTACAGCAGAGGCAAAAATCCTAAGCCATTTTCACAACGGTATTCAGTACCACTGGTATTCTTCCAGTTCACAGAAATAAAACAATTTAAAAAAACAGGGGAAGAAAAGTAGCTGACTCAAGTTCCTGTCTGTGTACTCTTTTGGCTCCACGTAACCGCATTTTTTGAAAACACTCTGAAAACTTCTTTGAAAATGTCCCAGCTCTTATTTTGAATTTTAATAGCCAAATTTCCAACAAAGGCTCAGTATTTCAACATTTTAACCAGCTTTATATTTGGGAGAAGGCAATTTGCAAGCCTTGGATACTATTTTCTGGGGTTTTTTTCCCCCCGTATCCGGATACCCTCATGTATATGAATAGATCCTGACCAACAGATCTCTCCAATACGTTCCCACCAGAACATAGAGCGCACATTTAAAAAAAACAAACAAAAGCAAAACAAACTGAAGAGCTACCATACAGCTGAAGAGCTAACCATGTCTCAAGGAAGGTTCTACAAGGAGCATCAAGGCAGTAATGTAGCTAAGAGGGGAAGCAATAATTACATGACATAAAATGAGCTTCATTGTTTATGACTTCCAAGTGAATCTAATTATTCCTGAAAAGAACTATGTCAACTCTGACAATCAAACATGTCAGAACAAAAGACAGCAGTTATCTTTCCCAACTCCCCACAAAAGCCTGACAGCAATGGATTCTCTAGTAAAGCAAATGAAAGCAATTGTGAAGGATAGTGTCTTTATAGCTCTATATCTACTAGACCAAATACAAAGAAAGTAAAGACTATATATCAAAGTCAAGAGCTCTACTATGAAGTGGTAACTCCCTTTCCTAGTTCCAGAAGATCTCAGTATAAATCATATCTTAGATCTCTCAAAGACATCTTCTTACCTATGCAGACCAAACTTAACAGACCAAACTTAATTTCAAATACAAGTTGGCAAACAGAAAAGAACCAGACAACTAGGGCTACACTTAGTGTATAATATGAAATGAAGTATTTCATTTAAGATATAATCATAATGGGGACTATCACTTACCTCTTGTAAAATCTTCTGTGCATCTTCTTGGGTTTCAAAAGTAACAAAGCCATACCTAAATAAAAATTACAGAAGCTAAGTCTCTGGAGTTCATATTTACATATTGCACATTATTACTTCATATATAGTACAAGTGACATTAAACGGTAAACTAATGGGAAAAAAAAATCAATCATAGAAATAAAGATTGCAGTAACAACTGTAATCTTAATTTAACATCCTAGTCTACTTACTAACAGTACATCGTAATATATTACTGTTTCTATGCAGTGAATGAGTAGCCCACATAGAAAGCTATGCAAAAGTCTGTACTGTCCTTGTTACTCAGTGTACATCTTTAGTTTCTTCATTTCTATTCAACAAGGAGATTTTGATCTGAAGCTCTCACTCGTTATGGGTGCCCAAGATGAGACACTTGGGATTTTTTTTTTTTTTTTTTTTTTTTTTTTAAAAAAAAAAAAAGGGGGGGGGGAAAAAACCGGCAAAAAGGAAAACCCGGGGGGAAAGAAAAAAAGATTAACGTCCAATCTTCCGTGACCAATGCTGTCATGCTCAGTTGTGGACAATAACAGTTAGGAACCAAATTGAACATTTTTACATTAGTACAGCAGAAGAAAATTATTTTTTTTTTTTTTTTTTTTAATACTGTACTTCATAGCACAGCTCCCACCTACTTCAGCAACAACTGTGAATGCTCCACACCTCCACAAGCACTATCCAGTATATTAAATTGAGTTCTCAGAAAAAGCAGCAATGCGGAGATAGCGTTTATCTGTGAATTATTCTTGTAATTCTTGACATGACTAGCATTAAACAAGAGTTCTATGTGGACCAAGGATGAAGCATTCTCATACTTCGTGACACAGTGTGTCTCTTTCACCATACCTCTTCAAACTGCTGCAACAAACTAAACAGGCTTTCTACACATAACTCCTGTGGTACGGAAACCCCTCAATTCATTCCCAGGGAAATCGAGGCCACTGAATGTGGTACTGCCTGTGCAAAAGTAAGGAAGTATCTGATCTTAAAGTCTGTACCACAACACATTGTACCACAAATGGATTCTTTTTTTCCCCAAGTCAACTGCAACTTTCTGAATATTGACATATCTTTTTTTTTTTTTTTTTTTAAATCTTTTAGTACCGTTGTATGCATAATTTCTTAGGTTCATAGCTCATTTCTCATGGTCAGATTTCAGATGATACCAAGAAGGCCTCTGCCATTCCAGCCAGCAGATCACATTTTGCAATACAACATACCATTCTTTGTGAGCATTTCCCTGCTTATTTGAGTACAGAGGTCCAGTAAGTCTCTGGCCAGCTATACTTTTCCTGTATTGCCTTCTCTAAACAAATTTGGAAACATTTCCCAGTTCAAAGAACACAGAAATTATCTTCCTAGCTTGGGACCTTACCTACACAGACTTTTCATTCTATGCACTATCTGGACAATAAACTAATCGACATAATCAATCACACAAACTTTTAAGTTTCTTAAATCACCTATCAACGAGAAGCAACGAAGCCTGTACTTGGATTTCAGTAGAAATCCCAACACCACTGAAAGTAATTATTTTCCAACGTATTTACTGTGAGACATATGTTGGCAATCACAACTGAATAACAACTGGATATTCTTGGGTTACTGTATTATATGGACACATGTACTGCAAGTCTCAGATATTTCTTGGAATTCAGTAAAAAGGTAAGAGGCTTAGTGACGGATCTGGGACCACGACCAAGTCCAACATGCCATTCACATATACTCTACGCTAAGATCTGCGGCTCAGTGTGTAATTTGCTGATATATGTTAAGTGCCGACGGCATTAAAATTACAAGATTCAGACACCACAAGCTTACTGCTCAGAAGAGAACTCCTGACCAAAGTGAACTTCAAAGGTACAAATTCTCATGCATGTTCCTTTTTGCTTCAGCCCTCTTTCCACCCTTCTGTGGCAGTACAGTTCCCTACCTTATTTCCTTCACCATCCTTAGGGTTCTAGCAATAACTCTACTACCCAGTCTTAATCGTTCTCCAGATTTGCTCTTTGGCATTTCTCTTATTGTTGACTTCCAGTCCTAGTCCTCTTTTCTGCAATCATGATTCCTTGTCAGGTTTTTCCCTTATGTTCTTGTTCCAGAAATCTTAACATAAGATCTCAGTTATTGCCATGCGCTCCAGCACGATCAGGTGTATCTCACACCTCTTCCTCCATTCTTAGGCTCCTTTCCACACTGGCTTTCAGTAGTAGAAATATGTATGTTTAATAACTAAATTACCTTTTTAGCATTATCTACTGAAATTATTATTGTCATAAAAAAACCTGAAAGCACTACTGATTTTTTCCTAGTTGCACACAGCTTCGTATTATATTACAGTAACATGACTATAGAGTTTTACAGTTATGCAAACCACAAAGACATTTATATGTAGATGTTAAAGGGCAAGAACAGATTTTTGCATACATGGAACAACTGGGAACATCAACGACATAAAATTAATAACATTCTGAGCTATGAAAAATCATAATCAAGTTTACTATATTTAGTCAGCTTTCTGTTATATTTTCAATTCCCACAACATGCTTATTCTACTATACCAACCCCTTTGATACTCCAGCTCTGTCATTTACTATCTTCACTTCTTTCACAGTGCCATACTGAGCAAAAAACTTCCTCAGATCATTTTCATTAGTCTAGTACAGCGAATCAAGAGGGGGGAGAAAAAAAAAGAAGAAAAGTTGGTTTGCATAATTATTCAATGAATATTTACCATAAGACTTTTAATGGATATACTTTGGATAAAGTTTGCTACAAACTAATTGTAATCCTGGATAGGAAGAGAGAAGAATGAGCATGTATGAGCCTCACAGCAAGAAAACAGCATCCCTGTTTAATTACTGCATTTTCATATACAGCAATAATGCCAGAAAGCCACCAAAATATTAAAATTCCTCTTTTAGTGGATTTACGTAACAACCGTCCCTTTACACGCAAGACCATTGAAGCAGGTTTACTAGATCTGAATTTTAGTTTCTATAAATTACATACTAGAGCGCTGTTTACAACATGAAACATCACTGCAATGTTTTCAAACTTCGAAACGGCAGAGTACGTAGGCTTCCATAAAGGATATGCATAGGTCATATATGAAAAAAATCCCCGCTAAACCACAGTGACTTAATGGTCAAATCCATCTAATATGCCGTGATCCCTCTTTCTGAAGTACAATTAATATAAGACTCTGCAAATATGTACAGGCACACCACAGGAACTCCACATTATAAATTAAGTAAGAAAAGGTCCTTTTAATGGAGAATGGTCTAAATCCACTTGGAGGAAACTGCTCCCTTCTGAGTATGCATAGAGGAAGACAAGTTGCTAATGTAAAGGCACACCTAAGCTATGTGAACACTCGTCTACCTTCTATGAATCAAGTTTTCTTTTACACTGTAAGCATATATCAAATACGGTGCCCTAAATATTGCCTATGGTGCCCTACCACATTGCAGATTTTAAAGTTTTGTTCTACATGGTCCATAGTTAATACTATACCTAATGCTGGAAGAAGTACGCTTATATGCATGGATCTCTAAATGCTTCAAGCAATTTCTATATTCATCTATATTTTTCGTTATTTTAAGGATGTGTATCAGAAGTACTACTTTATCGCTAAGTGAATGACTTTCATTGCTTTTAACTGTATGTATACAATTTAGTAAGTCCTCTCCTGCACATCAAAGGCTTATCTGCCTCATCTAAGCTTGAGAAGCAAAAAGAACTTAGAAGAAACAAAAACCAATTTAAACAACTTCCGTAACCACAAAGAATTTGAAGTTAATGCTCTTTTTGAATAATTGTACCCTCAAGACACATTTTACAGAAAGAAATAATGCAGCTTGCTTGCTACAACCTTTAAGTCCAGCAGAGAACAATGATGGTAGAAGACTGCTTTATCTCCCTCACTAATCCAAGTATTCAGGCATTAAAATATTAGAAAATGCTCAGTCACTCTGAAAATGTGAGGAGTAACAACAGATACAAGTGCACTGAACAGGCATGAAATACTTCAATGTTTTATAAAGCTCTCCTTGAAAGCTGCCTGCACTGGTTCTCAAGAAATTACCCACCATGGAAAGGTTAAAAAATTTCTGACTGGAGTCCAGAACCACTCTCTTGAACAGATGATCACGCTTTGCACCTAGCAGAAGTATGAAAGCCTGCGTACCTAGGAAAACAGATTCAGCCAAACAACTGATAGCTTACATAAAAAAATTCTACAGCATATACTAAAGTGCTCTCACATTCTTGAGTAATGAAAAGCATGTAACAAAGTACAAAAGATTTGTAGTGGAGATTTTCCTTTCCCTTAAAATTTTCTCCAATGAACAGCAAAATGTATCTGCTTAGAAATGAAAGGCCTACAGATAAAATTTTCTATTTCTGGAAGATTGTTTCTGTTAAGCTCTGTATGTTACATGCAGCTCAGCTGTTTCACAAAGCTGAGAAAAATAATTGAAGGCTAAAACAGGCCAAGAAACAACTGAAGAGCCCTTAAGACTGATCAGTCCTAAAAGTGTCATTCAATACCTCAAGGACATGAAGCAGGGCTACACAAGACTATAAACTTGGAAGTTTATCTGCAGAGCAGTGTATTAAAGGGGAATAAGAAGGAAACACTACTCTAAGATTCACAGTGAAATCTGCAAGTATCTGGAAAACCATGGTATCTAGAAGTTTGCCGGAAACACATTCAGGACTTGCCTTTTCCTGCTCGTGACAGGACAAAGGCACTTGTCGGATTCTTAAGAAAGGCTAATGGAAAGTCTTTACCTATGTCAAAGATACACGGCATACACCAGTGAAGAAAGAGCTCTTCAGGCCAACATGAAAATGTACCCAACTCTAACTTCTCTTACTGAATTGTCTCTCCAAATTTAAGAGGCCAGATGTTTCCTCTTACAAACAGGAATCACTGCTATGGTGACAGCCCATATGGAAGTGTCTGGCAAAATGATAGAAGAGCTTGCTAGACAGAATATTTTTTTTTGTTGATGAAGTGTCTCCCTTTTTCACAAAATAAATAAATATCTTTTTTATCCTCCCCAGCTGACCTGAATAAGACCTTTCGGGGGAAAAAAAAGGTCCTCAGCCTAGGAGGATTAAGGCAGAGAAGATACTGTTGGTGGGAACAAAGAAACAGCTAAGCCAACCAACGTTTTGCAAAAGTCAATGACTTAACTTACTATCTAAAGTGGTAAGAAAGAAAAATGAGAGTAGCTGGTATAGAAGTCTGCATATCATATATAAGGTGCATATATCACTACAAACGTTCGAAGTGACTGAACAATATAAGAATGGTTCAATATTCACTGCTATTTGAAGTTTTTAGGGCATATATAAAGGCACAAGCATTCTAAGAATTAAGATCAGTACTGCAAATTGCCCAGAGAAGCTTTAATGTTTGTTTTAAAACAAACACTTGCTTTTAAGAAAATTACTATGGTAAGTGAGGAATACATGCACTGTAGCTCCTTCTTTGCATGAACTGGAAGAAAAGTGCTAGAGGAACTGAAGCTACTGACACTTGATCTGTTTGCAACCTATAACATTGTGCTTATAGTTTATTAAATTACACTGTGTTATGCATAGTAAAAAACAAACTTCTACATACTTTTCTACCATAAGCTCTGCTGATTACAAAAGTCACCTTCTTTGAAGAGAGAAAATTCTGGAGAACCACTACGTCAAAAGCTTCTAGCAGCTAGGTGTACAAAGAGTCAACTCTGTAGTACAGTTACATAAACCAAAGCTTAAAGCGTTATTCTCTACTGTAGATTTGAACATTATAGTGAAGAGCACTTACCACCTAAACCAACACACATAAGATCATGTCTCACATTTTTTCCTACTGATTTTCATAGGGTTGTAAATTATCATTTAGTAGCAAAATTAGGGAAAAAAAAATTACCTTAAAATCAATTCCTCCTACAAAGATGCGATTTGGAGTAACTGTTCCAAACCTTGGAGCACTGCTCAGATTATTTAACGGCACCGGTGACACAGTGTTGGGAGATGAAGATAAAGATTCTGTTTGCGTCTGATTTGTGGTCTGCTGATTGAAAGAAAATATTTTCAAATATTTTCAGTATCTTACATGTTATAAGCTATTAAATAAAAAATTCTCAACAGAAAATACGTACATAACTTTCTGGGGGGCACAGCAAATGCTAAACAACTGAACATTAGCCACATTTTTATTCAGAATGCAGCTCAGCAAGTATTTAAACATAAGCTTAGTTTTAAGCAATTCAGTAACTTCGTGAACACGCTACAGTCTGAAGTTTGACTTTTATTTTAATACCTTTCTCAATTAGTCATTTAGGGCCTAATCCCCCAACGTTAGTTTTTCTGTTCGCACAGCACCCTGCTGTATGAATCCCAAGTTATGAATTCTGTTTCAGAGATGAATTAGAAACCCCTTAGTTTAAGCCTATATAGAAAGGACCTTTTCAACTCAACCTGCACTCGCACACATCTACAAAACTCTGCTCTCTGCAACAGCTTCTGCTTGATTTTCCAAGTGCCAAGCACCTGTAATTCCACCACATAAAATCCACAAGCTCGTTACAACTGATGAGAACAGCACTTGAAGACTAGTCTTTTAATTCAACACTCTCTTGGCCTACAAGCACAGTGATCCTAACAGAAATTCTCTCTGCTAAAGAACCACCAGATTGCTCTCACCCCAGTAAAAGAAAGGAATGCAGTACAGTAGGAACCTTATGGAAACCATTATTTAGTGAAGTCTGCCTGATGTTTTAACTTCCACCCTGCCTACACCTGTGAACTGTGAAACAATACAGACTCACATTTCATTGGAAACCCTTTTCAGAATAAACCAATACTGCCTTACATAGTCAACGCTAACTGCGAGATGACAGCTGTAAAGCAGCCACATAGTACTGTCACTAACTTCTCTAATAGGAATTGCAGTAGAGGCTTCAAGACCATTTTTGCTGTGGTTCCCCCACCGCCCTCCCCCCACTAAAGTTTACTAAAACCAATCCTGGGCTATAGTGCCCTGACAGTACCACCAAGGAAGGAGCCCAAAGTGAAAGATGAGCAGCTGCTGCAGGCTACAGATAACAAGACTAATAGTAAGCAGAGCAGTGAAAACTAGAAGTAGGAACCTAGGGTTATCAGCCTCCAACCTTCCTTTTGAAAGGATTTCAAGAGAAATATATTTTTTCTTACCATTGTGCAACCTTTAAAATTTGTAGTGAGGACCAACAAAACACATGCAAGCATATTTTAAAAATAGAAAGCTACTGCATAAAGTTCTTTCACTTCTGGTGGTATCTGTATCTTTTAGCCTCTTTTGAAGGACAATGAAACAGGCTACTTTCTTCATCTTTCACACCAAATACAATATGCAACTTGTATAATCATCTGGCAATTGTGTACGGTACTAAAATATCTTAACTATAAAGTAACAATTAACAGTTGACACCACAGCCAAAACGTATTCCTTACCTCAAAGATCTCAAATTTCATTTTCTCCATGCAAGTTTTAACACTTGTCTTATTAAAAAAAAAAACAAAAACAGAACAAACAAAAAAACCCCCACAAACCCCACCACCCCAAACTCCACATGGAAGAAACGAGGAATTAAACACATCACTTGTGAACTCCCAATACAGTAAACCCCAATGAATTTTAAAACATTAAAATCTGTGTTCTGATAACTATCTCAAACATTATTTCCTCTCTCTAATGCCAGCGTAGCAGTAAGAAAACAGTATTAAAAAAAAAAACTATGTGATAAGAGCATGTCGCTTACCTAATAATTTGTGTTCCTACAGATTTTTTAACTCACTTTTTAATCTTTTTTTTTTCCCCCCAAACAGTATGGATATGTACATTCATCAGTATTTTTATGGGTTATTTAGTGTGTTTGACAACTACTCTTTACCAGAATCCATAAGTTCACATTTTTATGTTGAACACATCCACAGTCAGACAACCAAACACTACAAAGGCCTGGTGATTAACGCCAACCTACTCCCTAAGCAACCCCCTTTTTACAGTCCATATCCTATAACGCCAGAAACTAGACGCCCATCTTCCCCAGGTACCGCTCTAGACCCGAGGCAAGAGGAGCGGCCCCCCAGAACCTGAAGCCACCCCTGAGCGCCACACCACCGAGAAAATGGCGGCATCCCGCGGGGGCGGGGACAGGGCCGCAACCGCCGCCGCCCACGAGGGGGGCTTTGGCGGGAAGGGGGGCCGCCGCC